GGGGGGGAGGCTAGAGAACAAGAAGAACAAGAAAAGGGACTGCGGCACCAAAGTTGTGCCCAGGGAGGAGGGGTAGCAGCGAGAGGAACGCGAGACGAAAAAGAGGAAGACCGGAAAGAGAGAGAGAGACAGAGAGAGGAGGGGGTACTGAAGTTCTGCTGGACGCAGAGGGGAGCTCTTTATACATTGACCCCGGCCGCACTCATGCGGCGAAGAAAACAAACACAGCCTCTGCCTGGCCGTGGCCGAGCCGCCGGGGCCGTCGTGTCAGGAACAATCCACGTGTGGCTGGCCGGAGAGGCGAGGCGCTTTTCTTCTCGCGATCCTTTTCTTTTTGTTTGTTGTTTTTGTTTTCACGGACTCTTCCTGTCGTAGTCCTAAGCGAGTTCGCAACGTCGCTGCCTAGCCGAGTGCACAGCCAGCAGAGAGGCATATAGAGGGACAACGAGGAAAGGGGGTGGGGGAGGAGGAGGTGATAGTTGGTGTGCATTCTGCGCAGAGAAACCCTTTCTGACGACCCACGTAAGAGGTGTGATGTCAGGGGGAGAAGTAAACGCCATGTTGTTATCTTGTCGATTTAAGAGGACGCGCGATGGTTCAGAAACCTGCACACAGGGTACGGCCTTTTTTTCACACCACTTTATAAAAACTTTCAAAAAAATAGTTGAATATTAAATTTTTTTGTTTGAAGATTCTCACTGAACGTTTCCCCACAGTGTGCAGCAGATAGGTGGCGCTGCCTGGTGCGCAGAGAGCATACACACACACACAGCCTCCTGAGGGGGCGGGCGCTATCGGGCCGGAGGATCACGACGTGCGCGAGAGAGAGACGGCGCTGCTCGCGGAGGTCGCGGCGGTGCGAGAGAGACGCTATGGCTCCCCTGTCGTGCCCGCTCCTTGTCCCCCCGGTGCGCGTGCCCTTTAACGAGGCCAAACGCGCACAAAGATACCCCCCTCCCTTTTTTTCTCCCTTCTACTGACCTGGAACTTCTCGTGTTGACTGAGCAGGAAGTAGAAGCAGCCGAACCAGTGCGCCAGCACGAGCAGGATGTGGATGAGGTTGACCACGCGCCACAGGTTGGGGTAGACGGTGCGCGACTCCACCATGTAGTAGTAGTGGTAGACGCGGTAGGCCTTGAGGAAGCGGGGAAAGCGCAGGATTGGGTTGATGCCTACGTTGAACTGGAGCAGGTCGAGCGGGAGCAGCGAGCCCAGGTCCAGCAGGAAGGCCCGCGACTGCATGTAGTGGCCCGCCAGCTTGCCTGAGTCGTACACCTGCGGGCGAGAGGTCACCAAATGTCACCCGTGGTGGTCACCCGAGGTAACTGGTGCACATGCGCACCATTACGACGAAGCGGCCACTCACCATCAGGCCTTGCTCCAGGTAACCGGTTCTGAACTGCACCAGCACGTCGATGACAAAGACCACGTCCGAGAAGCCGTCTGCCGTGAACCAGAGCCCCATCGCCATGTCCTGGATGGTGAAAGCAACCAAAACATTTCAAACCGACAGTAATGTTGTTTATTCTTGTTTGACGAAAGCGATGTGTTGAGAAGTGCACGTGTCACAAACAGCGCAACCGCCGAACAAGACAGGCAGTGAAATGTTTCATGGAAAGAAAAATATCCCCCCTTTTCCTAAATACTTTGAGGATTCTTTTTTAAAATACCGTCCGCAAGTTATCAGACCTTGTTGAAGTACTTGTTGAAGTACTTGTTGAAGTACTTGTTGAAGTACTTGTTAAAGTACGTGTTAAAGTACTTGAATAAGTACTTGTTAAAGTATTTGTATAAGTACTTGTTAAAGTATTTGTATAAGTACTTGTTTAAGTATTTGTTCAAATACTGAACGAAAACACGTGAGCTTTTCCCTACAGCCATAGCCTCAGTAACACCGACCTGAAGTTCTGGGAAGCTCTGCCGGACGATGAGGGTCCACACGTTGTAGAGCACGCAGCCGGTGAGCACCATCAGCCAGTAGAAGTAGAAGTTCTCGTCAGGGTTGACCACCGTCCGCGACAGCCGCTTCTGCCTCCGGCGCCGCCTGCGCCGCCGGCTGTTTTCCGAACGGCCGCCACCCGAGCTGGAGCATGAGCCACCCTCGCCGTCGTCCCCCGTGTCCACCGTCTCCTGTGACAACCGCGGCAAGCCTGAGAGTTGTGCTCTACACTAATTTCAAAAGCCCGACATTTTTTCTGGACTCAAGTTTAAAGATTTTTTAAAAAAAGATCAGAGTAAATTTTTCATGAATGGTTTAAATTTCGAAAAATGTAGTACTTTTTTGGAAAGTTAAAATCCCTACTTTGCCCTAGAGAGGATAAGTTATAGATATGTTTGCCCCGGGCAATCGGCACTGCCGCCACAGACCGCGGGCGCGCACGCAGTGAGCGCCGACCGGCGCCGACAGCTCGAGTTGGAGCCCCAGCCCCAGCTGGGTGGGTTGAGGTTCGGGTGGTGCATTCGAGAACCGCCCCCGGCACTCGGCTTGTGTGTGTAGAGGGCGGGGGTGGGAGTTGGGGTGGAGATAGTTTCAAGGCCTCTGTCACCCTTCCCTCGCTCCAACACTGAAACAATGTGTTCAATCAGCCAAAGCTCTGCTCTACTGCATCTGGTGCACCGCCGCCCATCTCATCGGACACACAAGAGTCGGAGGGCCACTGTAGCGCCCCCCCCCCTCCCCGCGCGCGCTAGGCCCGACAATATCCAACCACCCTCCACGAAAGAAAAATAGAAAAAACGCCGTGGAGTGACAGGATAAAAAAAGAGAGACGGCCCTTTTACCTTTATGCGGGAAAATGTGACAAGAGAAAAGGGAAGAAAACGGTATTGGCTGGTCCCGATAATAATCGACCCGGCCGAAAAAGAATAGGGGGCGATGGGCCGCAGGGATAAGCACGGGGAGCATGTAGGAGCGGGGGAGGAAGCGCCACGGGGCACGGGCCAGCACCCTCGAGGCTCTTTGTCCTCCGGGCGCGCGACGTCAGCAACCGACCCCATAAAGTGAGTGAATAATTGCATTTCAAATAGCAGCAGTGGCGCCATCACGAGCACCATTGAGCGGATCAGCCACCACTTTAGGACCGTGACCACTCTACAAAAAACAAAACAAAAACCAAACACCATAATTTGCAACAACTAAAAAAAAGTAGAGTTAGGGTTTGAGGGGGGAATCATATAGCGGTTCCCTCCCTTTTCCTTTTCTTCCTGTTCGCGGATGCTTCACACAACATTGTCGCTTTACTATGCATTTTTTTTTATGTTTGCGCCCAGCCGTGCTACGGCAGGCACACTATTAGCAGTAAAGTGAAACAAGCATACACGCGCTGCCCCCCTACCCTTAGGGGGAGAGAAAGGGGGAGAGGGAGATAGAGAGAGTTTATACCGTAGCGCGGAGCTCCGAAGTAACCGCATGTCCAGCGGGAGTGCCGAAGGGAACTGCGGGCCGCCTCGAGGGAACAAGGCGCCTTCATTTATAAAGAGCCTGACAAGTAATGCCCGAGGCTGACCCTAACAGTCGGGGGTGTAGTACACAGACCGCCTATAGCTGAGGTACTTTTTAAATATAGATTCCTTTCCACTTCTGCGAGCAATATTTCCAAAATGCAACTCTGAGAGATAAAGTTAAAAGTAGAGGCACCAACTTTTCTTTTTAACTTACTTAAAACCCGTTTATTACATGGTCCTCTGCTGCACCCTCACAGCAAATGACCGAGCAAGGTTACCAAGCGCCATTTGCAAATCTGCGTCGATCGCGCACGCTCTCTTTTTATTACATTGGAAACCACTCCGCCTGACTCACCTGTGCCTCAGCGATCTGTCTGGTGGAGAAGCGTTTGAGAAAGGAGTCCTCCCTCTTGAGCGGCGGCTTGGTCTTCTGAATGGTCGATGTTATTGCTCCCGACAGCTGCACGGTCGTGCGCAGCTTCATCCACCTCTGGTTGCTCTTGGTCCTGCGAGACAGAGCGGAGCGCTTTAGGGCGGGGAGGTCACCTTTCACAGGTCTCCAGTCGCAACGTCGATATTTTCTTTTATTAAATCTGGCTGCACCGTTTTTTATAAACACAAGTTGTGATTTGCGTAAGATCTGCGAGTAACTCGAGCAGTTATGTTAGTGAGTAAAGAGGGCGAGTGAGTAAGTTCAAGATCATTGAATCAACATACTCTCAGAACAGAGTGTATGACTACGCAAAGGTAATGGCGCAAGTTAATACAAGTTTACCGTTAACTTTATTTATCTATTTACAATATCTGTAGTTCATTTGGTACACAAAATGTCTCCACTTCAGAAGCAACTATTGCTGTTATTGAGCAGTTGCTGAATTAAACATTCATTTCTGCAACATTCAATTTTCTACAACATCAACAGCCAACTACTTCACACCAATTTTGGACCAATTTCTATCTGAAATCAGCTATATAACACGTATGTAACTCGCATCCAATGTTATGAAGTATGAACGAATGGGAAATACTAAACACACCTTCAAACAAATACGTAAAGAAGCAGACAGTAAATGCGCACATACATACAATGTTGACCTATGCTGAGAAAAAAAAATACTACACATTGCAGACACTGTACACAAAACATCTGCAAGAAACCTATGCCATTGCAATCAAGATCAGGTAGACTAAACACACTCATGCTATTACATATCCATAGCATGCACACACAGAAAAGTAGATAATCGCGCAATGCGACAGAGTAAGAGCATTATTAAAAAGAGCAAAGATAAATTAATATACATAGAAAAATGATACAGGAAGAGAAAGATTGAAGATATCATTCCCAAGAACTAGTCGAAAAGGTACACAAAGTATTCATCCTGAACACAAGGCCATGTCTGAAAGAGAAAGAGACCATGAGATGCATACAAGACGATAGATGACTACACTAAACAAGAAGGAGATATGACCATCCACACCAAGGCCCCACTTTTTCATTGAATCGAATACTTTGCCAAACTAAGAGACAATTTATGGAGGACGTCACCCACCATGCCTTTTAATCGCGTCGGTTGCCAAACAAAGACTAGTGTTTTTAAAATTGGTTTGGTCCAAAGAATAAGAAATGTTGGGGAATATGGTGCATTGAGCCCACCTCCCATTTTAAACATAGAGTGATTCCAATGAGCTAATGGGCAACACATTCGATCGCAAAAAAAGGCCTACGGGTAAGTAGGCGTATAGTGTGAAAACAGCATTCATACATCCAAGTTCGTACCATATCTACACAGTATTATTACATATTTACATTGGTAGAATGACAATTATTAAATTATGAAGTATGAAGGCTACACAGTAGGAAATGTACAGTATCACAAATCTTTTTTCTTTAATGTTAAAGATTAATTTATCAGAAGCATGCAAAAACCTATCAAAAGAAGAATGCAGTCTGTCATTCCGCTGGGTTTTAGATGCAAATAAGCGATGCAACACAATCCTATTTCAAGATTTAGAGTATGTGTATAGCATGTAAAACAATTACACTCTTCCTCAGCAAATGACAGACTGCCTCTAAAATCTGTCCTAATAAGAAGGTACACCTGATGTTTCCAGGATTTCATATGTACAGAGTCAAGGAGTTTAACATATACATCCTTAGGTACAATAAGTTGTTCACAAAACGATACGATTATTGAGTCAGAGCGTGCTCAAATTATAAGAACCGTAGAAGGGGCTCCAGGGTTGACGGGGGGTTGGGATACATATATAGACAGGAGAGTTTGGCTGCGACGACAGGAAAGGTAACTCCCGAGGAAAACGGCACAGCATTCGCCTCAAGCAGATTTTAAAATCCGCGAACATTCAAAATCGTGACGGAAAAAATAAGTTGATACGGGATGCAGAGCGCACGGAGTTTGAGGGGGGGAAAAGACGACAGACTGAGATAGGGAGAGGGGGTAGAGAAGAAAGAGAGAGAGAGAGAGAGAGAGAGGGAGAGAGCGCTAGACATGTTACTTGCAGAGCGTGACAGGCCACAGCGTGACGAGACACGTGACACGCGCATGAGCGCTGGGCAAATCCCCTCATTTCCTTTGTACACCACTTCTCCACTTCCCCCTTACGCTCTCCCTCCCTCCCTCTCTCTCTCTCTCCCGCGCCCGGAGCCCCTACGACATCACACAAGGACTCGCAGCCTCCCCGGGTGGTCCTGGTACCTCTTGATGGTGCGGAGCCGGGTGTAGAGCGCCAACACGGCGCGGACGTGCTGCCACTTCTGCTTGCCGGCCGTGTGCGGAGGGCTACTGGTGCTGTGGGCAGACACACACAACCTCACATAGACCGCCCGCGACCAAACAACAACAACATGCAGCCCACAGTGCTAGAGGACGAAAAAGTAGAGTGTGTGTGGGGGGCGAAGATGAGCATATAGGGGGAAGAGAAATACAACAAGTCATAAGAGAGGTATAGTTGAAAAAAAAAAAAAAAAAAGAGCTTGGAAAGAAAACATGCGAAGAAATTGACGAGATAAAAAAAACCCGAGATGTTTTGTTTATTCTGAGCCGTGTTGTCTTAACAAGTGGAAGAGGCGAAGAGGGGGAAAGAGAGAGGGAGGGGAAGGAAAAGGGGGCCTATCAACAGTCGAGCTGCTCCATCTCAGCCAGCGGCCGCAGCGGCCTCGGCGAGGCGTGCAGGGCGGATTGTGTGGATGCAACCTCGCGTGTCCGCTCCCGTTGTGTGCACGTGTGTGTGTGCTGTTTGTGTGTCGGCTCGCACGTGGGCCACTTTTAAAG